CGTTCAGGGGAGCAGGCGGAGCAGAGGTGAGCTAGGGTGGGGGGGCACAGGAAGTAACGGGGGGGGGTAGAGGAACCACTCCCCGCTCCAGCTCACCTCCGCTCCAGCTCACCTCCGCTCCACCACCGCCGCCTCCCCTGAGCACCCCGCCGCTCAGCTTGTCCTCCCTCCCAGCCTTGCTGCATGAAGCAGCTGTTTCGCACGGGGCAAGCCTGGGAGGGAGGGGGGATAAGCGGAGTGGCGGCGGCGCGCTCAGGGGAGCAGGCGGAGCGGAGGCAAGCTGGGGCGGCGGGGGCACTTTTTCCCCATGCCCCGGAGTCGGCACCTATGATGGCCGGCGCCAGAATGCCGCCCCTAGAATTGTGCCGCCCCAAGCACCTGCTTGTTTTGCTGGTGTCTGGAGCTGGCCCTGGGAGAGGGGATGGGAGCCAGACCAGATCAGTAGAACAGGTCAGCCACCGATTCGCCGCTCGCCTCCTCAGCCCCCCTCCCCCGGCTCGCCGACTCACTCCCCACCACTGCCCGCCCGCTTGCCTACTCAACCCCTGCGGGCCGCACAGTGAGCCCACGTGGGCCGCATGTTGTGCAGGCCTGCCTTAGTGCATATGTGGCCTAAGCGTGTAAGGATGCCTTATTCTAAACACTGAAGAACTCAAGATTTAAAGGACTAGTACATATGTTAATTCAGGGCTTTATCAGGTAACAAATTTCCCATTCAGGCTTTTTTAATGTTTTAATTTTATTTATTAGAAGAAATATTTCTGGTGTCGAACAAGTGCCCTTTCTCTCTTCCACTCCTCTACCAGAAGAGCACTCTTCTCCAGTAATCAAATTGAACCCCAGGCTTGTGTGCAGCACTCATACAGGCTAGATTTGCGTTACAGTGGAAAACTATAGACTTCGTGTATTCACATTTCTGTGTACTCACATATTTTATTTCAGAGAGCAGGATCTTTCTCCCATGTTGCACCTCTTAGCTGGTGTCTTTGAGACTCTGTTTATCATAGGATATAATTGGTATACATGGCCCTTTTAAATGCCTATTGCAGCTGATAAGTGAGGATTCTAGGGTACATCAGAAATCCAAAGGCTGCTGTTGCAACTTGGAAAATAGGAGGGAAACACTGTCAGCCTCAGATTTATGTATATATGTGTAGTTTAAATCAGGAAATGGATTAGATATCATTAGATATTTTCATTGTAGGTGTAAATTACACTTTTACCAAGAGCACTTAGCATTGACTACTGAGTTGTGAATGTCCCACAACTGCAGGTGACATAAATTTGAATATTTTAATTCACAAATTTAATCGCTTTTCACCAAGTTGTAAATGGTACTGAATACAGTTTTTATACCAATAGGAATTATTGCCTTTTATCCATGTTTCCAAATATTTCATTATTTCTTATTAAAATATTCTGCTCTCTTACATTGTATATTATAGTTACTTCTATTTTCTTTTTATGGCTAGAAATGTGAAGCAGAAACCCTTAAAATCTCAGGCAAAAATTGAATCTGAGCAGGAAGATTCTTCTACCCAACCTACCTCTAGCAGAGCAGCATGTGTTACAAGCCATAAAATAAATGCTAGCACCTATGCCCACAGTTCTTCTGGCGAATCTTCTGATTCTGCTTGCATATCATCACGTGAAAGAAATGGAAAAGCTAGAACTACACCCTTAACAAATCATACTGCATTGTCATCAGGTGAGAAACAAAATCTGTTTTAAAAGCTGTATTTGCTTATATATTAAACGTGAGCTATAAAATGTTTGCTAATTATTTTTTTTGCCTTTGTAGGCAAAGTAACCATAATTCCCATAAAGTCTAGCTAAATAACTCTTAAAAATACAAACCTTTTTAAAATGCCTTCTGTAGGAAAACCTTGTCTCTGATAACTATGAATGTTTTGTAATAACATCTTGTGTTTTCATGCTGTTTGCATGTTAAGTATAGAATTCTTCTGTTTTAAAGTTGTATAGAACCCAATACATTTCTTTAGTTTCAGCTTTTATTAGTGAAAAGCCTGCAGTAGAGGAAACTTATAAGTAAAAATATATTTATAACCAAAGAAGCAGACTTGTACACCATCTTTCAATCCTGTTGGATAGTCTGTGTGCCTGTACTCCGTTTCATCTGAGGAGTCATCACAGAGCTAAATGGCTTGTTGAGGGGTGAGAAGGGAGAAAAATGGTCCTGTCATCCTCATTTGCTGCTTTAAAAATCTGCTAAATGTGAAAATGGAACCTTGAAGTCTCAAACAGTCTTAGCAAACAGTGCTTGTGATGAACACTTTGAACTTGCCGTATCAGTACATTTAACACATAAATATGACTTATATTTAACATTGCGTGTGTGTATTGTGCACAAAACACTATGCAAAAAGAATATTAAGATTTCAAAGTTACACACTCAGATGAAAGGAAGTGCCGGAATTAATGTTGCCTATGCAACAAACACACGAAGACTACCCCGTCTCATATCACATTCTTATTCCAAAGCATAAGGGTGCTAAACTCTTAAAGAAGCCACCACTATTTTATTAACATTGCAAAGCCTTCCTTGAAAATAGCTGAACATTTTTAGCTGAACCTTTTAAAAAAAAAAAAACAGAGAAAATGCCACCAGATAATGCAGCATGAAAAAATTCAGCCCTCGTAAAGTTTGGCAAAGTTATGAGCAACTGAAAACAGTCTCACAATGGAAAATGTAAGGCAGCTATCACTATAGGTGGCACTGGTATAATGTATGCCTTCCTGTCCTTGTCTTTAAATAATACACTGTGAAACTAATTATATGGAAGCGATATGTGTAAGAAACATTCTGTAAAGTGTAAAACAGCAAATTACACCTACTAATTAATTTTCAAGGTCATTAACTTGCTGTGTTCCTGCTTAGAATTCTAAATTCTTTTTTTTTTTTTTTTAAACCAGAAAGTGAAATAGAAGGCTCTTCAGCTTCTTCCTCTGCCTCCTCATCAGGATCTTCTTCCTCTTCTTCGTCAAGTAGCTCAGAGGAAAGTAAAGAGAGCTCTATGGCTCTTGCATCCCCAGTATTACACAATGGTATATCCAGAGCAAAGAACAGCAGCTTTAGGGTAACCAGAAATAGAGCAGCTCAAAGAAAGCAAATGGGTAAGATTCAATCAGCATTTTCTGTGAATGGCCAATAACATAAGAAAATGCATATTCAGTGGTAAATATACGTGGTGCAATTAAGTTCATGTTAATAACACTTTGAAAAGTTAAAACTGTATGTTAACGTCTGGAATACATGACTGAGGCTAGCATAGTTGCATGGCACTTGTACCGATACTGTTGCTGTAAGAGTTAAGACTTTTCTCAGAATCTTACGGTTTCCTCTGGTGAAACAATTAACATTAGCATTGAAGGAATCCTTACTGAAGGAAGTTACTAGTAAGGCAAAGAGATAGTCAAACAGTGAGGATGAAGATTTTGCAACTCCCTTGTTTTTAATTATAAAAAAGAAATTGAATACAACTGATACTAGTAATGATGGTTTAAATACAAATAAAGCAAGCTTCAAGACACGGTGAATGCTCACCTTTTAGATTTGTGAAGAATGAGAGTGTTACCTTTATTTTCTAGTTAAATAAAATGTTCCATGTAAGTTGCAGCTACTACTACATTTGTACTTCAATTCAGTTTGTGCCTATGAGTTGAACTTGTTTGACTTTACAGGAAATTTAATTTAACATAAATGGGTGTCCTTATATTTAAAATTGACAGCAATTCTATATTTTACAGGATCAGATTCTCAGGAGAATGGAAATATCAGAAAAACTGCCAGGAAAAGGCTATATAGAAGTGACTCTGAAAATACTTCAGCAGTGGCTTGTGAATCGTTGAGTAACAAAACTGGTAGACATAGAAAAATTCCACGCAGAAGTGCTACTGTGGCTGCTAATAAATTAAGGCTGATGAGTGATGTGGAGGAAGAGATCTCCAGTTCAGAAAGTGTGGGCATTGCAAGCAAGAACAGAAAACTGCCCCACCGCAATGCTTCTGCTGCAGCCAGGAAACTGCTTTTGGACGGTTCTGATGATGAGACAGGTTTAAAGTCTGAAAGTGAAAAAGAAGTAAAAGAACAGTATGCGAGGAAGAAAAAACTTTCTCAGCCTGGTTCATCTGCTGCTAGAAGAAAATATATTAGTGAATCTGAAGTTGGAAGTTCAGATTCTGAAACTGATACAAGAATGGCACACAAAAATAGGCAAAGCAATAGCAAAAAACCACCACAGAGGACGGTCTGTGCTTCATCTCCTAAAATTAAAAATCCCACAATAGAATTTTCAGAGGACGACTCCAAAAACCATAAGTCAGAGGATGGGAGCAGTCAGAAAGTGTCCAGCCAGTCAACTTCTACACACAAACAGCATGCAGTGAGCAACTCTGAGGATGAGGAAGATTCTGAGTCAGGCAGGTGGAATGGTAGAAAAATCAAGAAGGTGACAAGTCAAAAGCCTGCAACTCCTTTCAAAAAAGCAAAAGTCTTGAGTGACTTAGAGGACACAGCAGAGTCTGAAACAGAAGTGAAGGAGAATGGAAGAAGTTCTGTGTCAGAGAGCATGGAAACTTCTGGGACTCCAGGGAGCTCAAAATCTGGACCTGATGCTAGTTTCAATTGCTCTTCTAATTTAGCATCTGAAACTGATACCAATAATAGTAACTATAGTGATGCCATAAACAAAAAAAGGAGGAAAAGGGAAGTCACTAAAAAAGGTATGTTTAAAAACTTAATGTATCTAAATCTGATATTGACTAAATTAAAATGTAGGATTGGTAGTTATTAGGAAGATTTGGACTCCACAAAATGAGTTCCTTGACATTCTGAAGGAAGCTTGTGTAGGAATATTGTAAAGTGTGACAAAGATAGAAGTATAAAGGTGTATGCTGTTAAAATTGGGCAGTGGTCAATTTAATTTTTCAGAGGAAAATTATTTCCCTTCCTCATGGCACTAGATCTCTTGATGAATGGTGAGTGTTTGTCTAACTATTCTGGAAGTATATTTATATGAAACTATTAATGCAACTATACTATTATAGTGTTCATTTTTAACTTGTATTTTCTGTCCACATTGCAATATTTAGCAGAGATGACAAAATATGCTTCATTTGTGGAACATATTTAAGTCTGAATTTCATCCAGTAAGTTTACAAATGGTTTCACTGGGGACAGTTCACTAGTAGACTATGGAGTGTTATGGGTGACTGAGATATTGCCTTTGATAACCTGTGCATTCAAGAATTGATAAATATGTGTGTTCAAGATTGTTCTTGAATGTCCTCATGATAACTGTAGCTGGAGTATATAGCACACGGCCACTGTTACCGTTACCTGAGTGTTTCCTTTCTGAAAGACCATTTTCGTTTCTTACAACCTGGTGAAATTTTCACCTTTCAGGCTGGTTTCTACCTGAGAGTGGTCCTGTTTTTATAAATGTGAGAAAAGGCATTTCTGCAGTTTTTGAGAATAAGTAGAGTGGAGGTGGGAAAATGCTATTCTTTTAACAAATATATAGATGGATGGATGGATAGATTTAAAAACAAATTACAGGGTCCTATTTTTAAACAGCTCCAGTTTTTTTGGGAAGAAAGTAGAAATTTTGCATGGCTATAGGGCAGTGTTTCTCACCCTTTTTGATACCAGGGACGCTGCCTTCCTAAACTCTGTCAGGGAAGTCTCAAGGATCAGCACCAGTCCATGGACTGGTCATTGAGAAACACTGATATAGGGTAACATTTTCAAAAGCACTTCAGTGACCTAAAAACTTTCTCAGTTAGATGCTTTTCACAATGTTACCCGTGGGCCTTATATTGGAGGTGTACTTTAAAGTAAGTGTTCTGATTAGCTCAGATTATCACAATTTTTTTTAAATGTGCAGGCATTGTACATTTTTAATAACAATACTTTTTAAAAATAACTCCTGGAAATATAAAGTAAAAGGGCTGTTAATGCATTCACATAAAATTTTGAATAGAAATAAGTAATATGATGCCCCTCTATGTCATCTTAGGTATTTAATAAGGTTTCTGTGGTTTCCAGAGAAGCCCTGCTTCATTCAGTGAGATGTTCAAAAGTTCTTGCAAACCCCGTATCGGGGCTTGTCTACACACAATTTCTGCCTCAATTTAAATTAAATTTATAATTGTAAGCAAAACACATTTACATCAATATGAGTGTGTTCACACTAGGGAGTTGCATCAATTCAAGTAAGTTTGTTTTTAAACTGATTTATGTAAATTGGCGCACAAACTCTGTAGACCAGCTCTCACATTAGGCATTTTTGCGCAGTCTGGCCAAGTTGTGTATCTAGGCGTATAATGAAAGTAATATTTGAATTATTTCCTTTTTCTAGCATATTTCCTAAGGAAAACATAAGATAAGAGAATTTAAAGATTGCAAAGTAAAGCGCTCAAGTCAAGAAATGTCATGTTTTTATATTTGCCTCTGAAAAATAATTTAAACTTTATGATCACCAGGGATTTTAGAAATCCTTTTGCCACAGGAAAAACATGAAATTTGTGTTTTTACAGAGAATCTTTAGTTTTTACATTTTGTGAAAAAATAAAAACATATGTACAGTAGAATCCCATTTATGTGAGCCTCCATTGTCCGGCTCTCCATATTAACTGAACTGGTGCTGTTGGTTGTCAGCCCCAGGCAGTGGGGCTTGCAGCTGAAGCTCTTTGCCCAGTCTCTGGGTTATCCGAATTTTAGATTATGTGATCTGGCCCTGGCCCCAATTAGATCGGATAAATGGGATTCCACTGTATAGTGTGGCTAGGGAAAAAGTTCAGCGTTTCATTTTACTCATTGAAAAACACAGATTTTTGGTTTTTTATCACGGAGAACTAGGATCCCTGATGATCCCTTACTATTATTTCCATAGATTTCCTTCAGGTTCCTGTATTCTAGCTCAAATTGTGGTTGCAGTTACAGTGATGTAAATTAGGAGTAAATCAGCTGAAATCAATTAACTCTACTCTGAATTTACATTAATATATGTATAAATGAATTTGAATACAATAATATTTGGCCCTCAATATGCAGGTTGGATTTGTGTACAGCAGCAAGTGAGGCAGAGATGTGTACTCATTTGACTGAGCAAAACTCATTAAATAGTTGTATTTTTAAATTAAATTAAATGTATTTGCATAGAGAAAATCTTTTTTGTTGACAGCTAGCATTTTATATTGTGTACACTATTACTTTTTTGCTTCTAACAAGTAAATTTATAAATAAATGTTGAATACCTACCTGATCCACTGCGGACTCTACCTGCTCACTAAATGAAGATGGGGGCCCTGTGAAAAAAGGTAACCTTTATTTTGGCGTGTCCTGACTGCGTGCTTCATAGGCAGCCTTAATGTTGCTTTAACTTACATTTTCTATAAAATTTAGTCAGACCCTGATGTCAGCTAGCATTTCCTAACTAATCATACAGTATCTTTTGTAAATGTAAAATAATTATTGCTACAAAAATGACTTAATCATCTGGGTTTTTTTAAAACACTGAAATATTTCCTTTGCTTATAGGTTTGGTAAAAGCATATATTTGCAAAACAAAGTTTGGGCTGAAGTTGACCAGATATAGTGTCCCTTTATCATTACATCTTCCTCGCCAAATCTGAATTAGGCGTTTTGTGAATTTTTTGGATTAAATAAAACAAGTTTTTGGCGTTCCAGAATACTAGTAGTATAGAATTTTTTTCTACTTTTTAGATTCATTTCTTAATTCCTTTGTTTTAATTTTGGGGCTTTTATTTAACAGACTTAATACAGTGGTCACCCACAGCTTTCTGTTGCCACAGATATCATGGTAATTTTTTAGGGCTCTGATCCATTCTGATGGTTTTGCATCACTCTGGGTCAAAGCAAGTATAAAACCAGCTTACCAAAGTTAGTAAAAGGACTACCCTTATCTCAGCACATATCCAGGTGACCTAAAACGGTTGTAGCACCACCTACGCAGCCACAGCACAGAACATGTCAGAGGGAAAGGTACATATCCAGGATATGCTCCAGCGATTCCTAGCTATTGGACAAGCATTTGGAGCCATGGAGAGCCAGGAATAAGAAGAGCAGCCTGGAGTTGTGCTCACGCACTAGGGACTGATGGCCCAAGGATTAGGGGAATGCAAAGGTGTTTGAAAGCCATCTTTGAATGGCCCTTGTCCCATATCTGGTTTTGTGCCAAGAACAGATCAACCAAACTGCAAAAAACAAATAAACAAAAAATATTTTTTCTTGCAGGTGCATTCTTAAAATGGGGATGAGGAGATGGATTTCTCAGGGCATGTAATTCAAAGATCATAAAAATCATAGGTGGAATGATAATATAGTTGGCCAAAACCCTAATTGCGCTCTACTGAATATAACATGTAATATGTTTGAATTGCCCTTGCTATTATAAAATAAAAATACAGATGTTTTAATCACACAATGTGAGCTGTTCTCCAGTACTATTTGGGTTTGTACATTGTTAGTACTATAATATAAATTGCTCTTGTTCTGTTTTAAAATATTTGTCATAAATTTGTCATTTATTTATTTTTTAATTTAACCAATATTTAAATCATTTTTATTTTTTATATTATAGGGTCTTTCTCTCAAGAGAATGGACATAGCAGAAGAGCTACCAGGAAAAGGTTATATGGGAGTGACTCAGAATATTCAAAGGGGGTTTACAAAATAGTGAATGACAAAGATGGTGGTCGCAGAAGAATTCCACGCAGAAGTGCTACTGTGGCTGCCAGTAAATTAAGACTAATGAGTGATGTGGAGGAAGAGATCTCCAGCTCAGAAAGTATTGGCATTAGAAGCAAGAACAGAAAACTGCCCCACCGCAGTGCCTCTGCTGCAGCCAGGAAATTGTTATTGGATGGCTTTGAAGATGACACAGGTTTAAAATCTGAAAGTGAAAAAGAACAAAAAGAACAGTATATTAAGCGGAAAATGCTTTCGCAGGCTGGTTCATCTGCTAGAAGAAAATATATTAGTGAATCTGAAGATAAAAGTTCAGATTCTGAAATAGGTGCAAAAATGGCACCAAAAAATAGGCAAAGCAATGGCCATAAACAACCACACAGGACAGTCTGTGCTGCATCTCCTAAAATTAAAAATCCCACAGTAGAATTCTCAGAGGACTCCAAAAGCCATAAGTCAGGGGATGGGAGCAGTCAAAAGGTGTCTGATCAGTCAACTTCTGCACACACACAGCATGCCGTGAGCAACTCTGAGGATGAGGCAGATTCTTTGTCAGGCAGGTGGAATGGTAGAAGAATTAAGAAGATGACCAGTCAAAAGTCTGCAACTCTTTTCAAGAAAGCAAAAGCCTTGAGTGATTTGAAAAACAGAGCAGAGTCTGAAACCGAAGTGAGGGAGAATGGAAGACGGTCTGTGTCCGAGAGAACAGGACCTTCTGGAACTGCAGGGAGCTCAAAATCTGGACCTGATGCCAGTTTCAATTGCTCTTCTAATTTAGAATTTGATACTGATTCCAATAGCAGTAACTATAGCAATGCCACAAACACAAAAAAAAGGAAAAGGAAAGGAAAAACAAAAGTCATTAGAAAAGGTAATTTTAAAGCTAATGCATCTAAATCTATGATATTGTCTAGACAGAGGAAACGACGTAGGATTAATATGGATGATAATGACTGGGAGGATTTGGACTATACAAAATATAAAAGAGCTCCTCAACGCTCTAAAATCAGAACTAGAAATCAGGGTAGAAAGACTGTAAGGTATGATGATAGAGGTCTAGACAGTGTGCTCGAACTGAGAGATTACAGAACATAATGGAGGGAAATCTATTCCACTTTTGTGGTAATATCATTAGAATTCATGATGAATGATGGCTGTTCTTTGTCATGAGATTCAGGGAAAACATTTATATTTTTCTGTGAAAAACATAATCCTGTGACTGTCCTTGTCATATTTCAGATTGCATTTGCTGGTCCATGTAGCAATATGTAGCAACTGATACCAAAATGTTTCATTTTGGGGCAGTATTTCAGTCTGGACTGGAATGTTACTGCTCAGAATAACAGTTTTCAAAACCAGTTGAACACTGGCCTATATGTTGCTAGCACAATATTGACCATTACTTTAATCGGTGCTGTGTGAGAAAATTGCCTATGACGTACAGTTTTAGAGATTTCAAAATCTCGAAGTGGACTGTTCTAGCACCGGTTCCTTGTTCTAGAGACTTTATAAAACTAGGTTACTGTTACATGATCAGTATTATAATTAGTCCTGTTGATCTTGACATCATGAGTAAAGTAACAGTTCCTTTACAAAGTAGATAACTATTTTTATTTTTCCAAATTATTATTTGCTTTATTAATGCAGTTGAATACAGAAGAGCCATTAATTTAAATTTAAATAATTTTTATTATTTGACTGAAAGGTGTTATTTTTTTAATACAGTGTTGCTTCCATGAGGTAAATTGGAATCTGCAAAATTATTTATTTTAATTTTTGTTTTGATGGCAGTGTTTTGCCACCTTTTTTTAAAGGTGAAAACGTGTGTCCAGGATAGCGATATTCTGGTATTTATTTGATGTCTGCATGCACTCCTTTTTCTTACTACTGGTTTAATTTTTTAAGAAGATAAAGCTTTTTGTCCAACAGTTACAGTGATGTCCCCTATATCTCTGTTTCTCCAAATTTCATGGGATATTCTGGTTTTTCATGTTTTTAACCGAAGTGTTAAGTCACGCTTATGGTTCTTCACAGAGATTTTCTTATATGCAGCATCTCATTGGCAGACGGTTGATAATGAATAGCCCAAAGTTATGGTCTCAGAGAAATGTTCATTAGCCTAATTTTGCTTCTGCAGTTTCAACCTATTCTGAAGTGTTTATTCTTCTCCATTTCTCATTCTTTCATATGCACTTCCATGTGCTAATTGAGATGTAATTCCAGTTTGGGAATTTTCTTTGACAACTCAGCTCATCAGAATGACTTTGGGATTCACTGGGCCATATCTAGTGTGTCACTACAACTTCCTCTTTTAGGAGATTGGTTCTTGTTTCACAGTTTAGCCAACTTTAAAGACTCTTTACAGTCTGCATATTCTCTTTTCGTGACTACTGTATTCCAAAGATGTCAGGGAGATAGACACACTAGTCCCAAAAACTGTTCTAACTACTTTATATCCCCCCCTCCCCCTGCAACCTCCCAAAAAAAGATTGCAAAAAGTAATTATCAGAAAGAACATCCCATGCAGACCTTATTTTAGAGAATTCCCATAAATATTGCAACAGAAGCAATTGGGCGAGTAGGTTTTTTGTTGTTGTTGGGTTTTTTTTTTTTTTTTTTTCCTACTTGCTCATTGTAAGTGGGAGGCATCTATACCATCCTCATAGGGACTACAACTAGTTCTAGGCCTTTGAGAATCTCATGACTTGTAATCCCCAGTAAAAGGGATTGAATCTAGCATATGGAGTTGTAGTGCATGGAACTTATATACATATTTTTCTTCCCTCTTTCATCTCCTTTTTGCGGACTGCTTTTTTTAACTATACTGCAGAAGGACCAGTCTTTTCCCTGGAGAGGTCTGCCCTTTGTGAAGCCAGAACATATGTAGCTTTACTCATGGTTAGCACCCTACATATATTTTCAACTTCATATAGCAATCAGTAGGTTGAATGGGGGGATGAGGGGGAATTGAGGCATGTCTTTACAGTAACTCTAAGATCCTGGATGAAATAATACTGTAGCTAGCAATGGTCAATAATTCACCAGATATTAAACTGAATAAAGGACAAGTAAGAATTTAATATTTTATATTCATATTTTGTTAGACTATATTGTACCTATGCATAAATTATATCTGTTGTCTTAGTCCTGCAGTTCTCTTCCCCCTTTTTCTAGTCTCAAAATTGTTATTGAATTTAAAGTAACATGCCATGTACTACTTTACTCAACTTCTAAAAACTATTTTTTTTTGTTTGCTTGACACCAAACATGATTAAGAATGAAAGCGCAAAAGATACATTAAACTACTCTGCCCATCTTGCCTGGGATTGGTCTTGAAGAGAGGGTTACTATCTGTATACAACACTGTTAAAAATCAGGCCCCGGATTATTTCCCACCTCTAACTTGACAGCTGAGGAAAGATGACCTGCCTTAACAACTGCATTATAATAAGTTAAAATCTTCATGTTAAAGTTACCCTTTTCCAGTTATTAATTTCAACCAAAATAATTTCTTCCAACTACCAAATATATGAGGAGGGGATATGGAGTTGGGTCATCACTGTGTTTCTAACACAAAATTGTCAAAATGTTGCCATTTTGTTCTTGCAAGCTGACCTACATTTTTGTCGGTTGCCGCATAACTGATTCTATCGCACTTTAAAATGTGTATTGTATGCCTTCTTAGGCAGATAGTTTTGATATATTTTTGTGACACATGGGTCTATGTTTACGTGGGGTGAGAATCTCAGGAAGAAAGTCATTTAAGGTGTTTTGTGATTAATTCTGCTATCTTGGCAATTTCCCACAAGAAATAATTTTTTGACCTACTAAGATCTAAACGTTTATTAATTGCTGCCAAATACACAAAGTGATTTCTAACATCAATGAAATATATAAGAATGGCGGGTACAGTAGATGATCAGCAACAAAACAGTCACTGAACCCTTGATTGCCCATTAAACTTTATATGTAGCTGCATTGCCATAGATACTTATTTCCATTCAGTTAATACTCTTTAAAGTATTGGCTTTTTTTCAGAACCCTTCGGTAATTTTTTGGTATGAAATGGCTCTTATCTGAAACTTGTTTTGTAAGTAGAAAATATTTGAATCCAGCATATAACTTACTATTTTTGGAGACATGAAAAATTATTTTTCAAAGTCTTTGAAAAGATTTTTTTTAATATTGTAAAAGGGAATCTCTAATTTGTATATAAAATATTACATCCAATTTGAATGTATATATTTTGTTGTAGGAAGGAAAGAGAAGTGATATAAACACCAAGTAAAATTTTCCTGACTTAGGACTTTATGTATTTCCTTTTAAAAACAAAAAACAGCTGCAAAATGCTATCTGTTCAAAGGTGATCAGTTAAAGATTTTTTTTCTTAAACTTCTGTGGGAAAGTTGTTAACCATGACGAATGTGAAAAGTGCCAAAATAGATCGGCCAGCATTGATCTTTGATTTTTATTTTTATTTTCTGGGGTGGGAGGGGGAATTGTTTTGCCATTAGTATGGAAGGTGGATGTTTTAACCTATCTGTCATCTTCTGCAGTTTGAAGAAAATCTGGTTTATATCCCTTTTTTTCCATCACTCTCTGGTTAAATTGTAGCTTTCAATGTATTGTACTTTTATGTTCTTGGATTCAAAATGTTAATTTGTCTTCCAGTTTCTGATATCTTAAATAGAGCAAAAATTCAAATATGAATTATTTTGTCTCCTCTCTTAATGAAAGAGTGCTAATCCTTCAAAAAAAATTATACACTTCCTGAGTTACAATGCGTCGATTTATTTTTAATATTTTTTTCTTTACAAAGCAATAATCAGTTTTTAACAGCTAGATCAAACTGGCAACGATAAATACAGTTTTTCTAATAATGGATCAATTGTGCAAAACCTTTCCAGCAGTGAGAGTCACATTTAACTGCCAAGCCTGAGGGATGCATCTAATTAATATATTAAATTATGAAGGATTTTAATCTGAGAGAGAGTTTATCCATAGAGCTTCTTGATGTCTAGCTTTTTCTTGAAGGTGGCCATACTTGTTATGGAATAATTATATTTTATATAGTACTCATCACTCCTCCCTCCCCAGATACAGCAGCCAAAGCATTGAATTGCAATAAAATTGCTGACAGTGTTATGGGGTTTTTTAAAAAGTTGGTGTCTCTTTAAGCAATAAAATACTGCCCTCTTAAAATAGAAGCAATGAAGGGAGGGCATCTAATTTTAAAGGAAAGACTGAAAGACAAGATAGTATGTGTTGGGCAACATGAATGGTCTGAAACTAGAAAAGCAAAGGTGTTCTTAATAAAATGAGAAGGGATGGAAAGAGTTCTATGCTGCATGGGGGGGCTCACCACAGCTGAAGCATAATCAACTGCTGATCTTGGATGTGATAAGATCTGTGTTGTGAGTAGTATGTAAAAGCACTCTGCCTCATAGTACAAAGTTCAAGATATGGAATCAAAATGTATTCAGAGCCATCATCCTTAAGGCCTTCAAAAACCAGTAGAGCCGATTTAAAGAGACACTGACTAGTAAATTTCAAATGTCAGTTGCAAATATCCTTAGGCATCACATCTGCCCATGAAGACAACTGCCATTTCTGTGCTTTTATAATTTTCCTGTCTTTAAAATGTTTTTATCTCCTCTATTGCTGTGTAGAAAATCCCACACATACAGGAGAAACTATTCTTTTATGTAGAGGAAAAAGTGAAACTAAACGTTGACAATATTTTAGTGTAAATACACAAAGTAAAACTAAAAATGGGAAATTTTATTTTCTCAAATTTTTCATTTATAGTAATTTGGGGTATTACTCAGACAGTAATGTAATTATTTTAAGTTGATGAGTGTTCGCTTTAAACCATTCTGCTCCTTAATAGGCAGCCAATATGACAAATGTAAGGCTGTTATAATATAATTGTGATAGTTTAAATTAGTATGCAGCTCCACTCTGAACAAGCTACATTGTTTTCGGCTGAAACTTAGCCTAATTTGACCCAAATTCACTTAGTTTAGGTGCCCTGAAAAAACATTTTTCATTGAATTTACAATTTACCAAAAAAATTTCACCCAGCTCTAACTGGACACTGTGGAATGAGGTTATATGATGATTCATTTCAAAGCGCTGCAGCTATTTTGTTCAGTCACTTTGTTCCAAATTTTCCAAAACCAAAGAATTAAGGATGTTCTCAAGTTTACCACTGTTAGAGTGCACAGATCAGTGATGGGGTGGAGGGGAGGTGTCAACATTTTTATAGTCCCTACCCGTCCTGCTCTAGACTGGAAGAGGGTGAAGTCTTTCTTTGGATCATCAAGCATCAGGATGAAATTGGTGATTCAGGCAAACTCTGTTTTCTGGATCTTCAGGGTACCTGTCTGCACAAACAAAATCATGGCATCACAAATGATTACTGCACTTTGCACTACTGGGTCAATACTTCCAATATCAAGCATTTGTTTGTTTTGGCTGCACCATTATTTAGGGTAATTCTAGCAACTGCACTAGGAGATTTACTGTATCTACTCCTTTGATTGGCTTGTGTGAAGGGAGACATTTTTTTGAGGCATTTACATTTAATTGGGACATCTCCCAGGGAACTAATTAAGCTTAGTAATACTAAATAATATTTGATAAGGATAATTCTGCCAAATACAATTTTTTAGGTGTCTTTTGAAATAGCTTTCAGTCCTGTTATGGCTGTGATACATGCAGTGTGTGAAAACTTCAATGGTTTCTGTTCTGATGTGATATTGGCTCTTTCCATGCCACTACATATTGCCACCAGTGCAGCTCCTGGCACTAGGCAGGCAGCAGGCTTAGTCCCTGTCTCATTGTAGACAATGCCTCCCATTCAACTCCTAAATGGGCTTGTCCAGAGACAACAGATTCTGCAGTTCCTCTGACAGCAGCGGCTTTACTAATAAAAAAAAATAGTGTATGCTGTTACTCAAGAGTTCTTAATGGAGACAACAGGTCGTCCAGCAGATGTTCTGATTAAGTGGATTAAGATTAATAAAATATCACCACCTAGCACTTCTGTAGTGCTTTCCATGCATTTGTGTTTTTCAAATTTCATTTTTTCAGAACATTGAAAATTTGCCAATACATTATTTTGAAAAAACATTAAACCAAAATTTATAGTGTCAACCTTGCTACTGTATAAAATTTTCACCACAATTTTTTTATAAAGTTGTTTTGAACACACAACACTTACTGAGAATGTATGTTCACCAGACTATAAAGCACTGAATAACTAGAGCCCTGCATGGATACAAAATTTGTATCCACATCCGATCTACAAAAATGGTCCGCAAATATAAAGTGGATATCCGCAGATTTGCAGAGCTCTAGATACAAAAGTTGTATCTGCATCCGATCCACGATCCGCAAAAATGGTCTGCGGATATGGATCTCCACAGATACAAAGCGGATATCTGTGGATTTGCAGGCTCTAGTAATAACATGCTTTCTGGTCAAAGGCTAAATTAGAAATATTTAAAAAAAAAAAAGATTCATCCACAGAGCATCAAATGCATTAATGACACATTTCTGACAATCTGAGAAGGGTAAAAAGGGGTTTGTCCTTATTTGCTGCTTTGTGATATATAGATAACCTAAAAAGCTTTTTTCCAAAAGTTTCTCTGTTTTTAATCTCTGGATTGTAGGTGGTATTGTAATTACAGTAATAAAATATACAGTCTTAATACAGTTTTTATGGAATTTCATTAAACCAAATGAATATAAACAGTGATCCCATCCTACCATGGAATCCATCAGTGCAGCACAATCCCCTTCTATTTCCTGGATATATTATTTTAATATCTAAAGAAATTAAACAAACTAGGTTTTAAAGCCAGACACATCATGACATGTCAGAGAACATTACATAGTATCAAGTAATTTAAACATAATTAAGTTGGTATCTCTTTGGAAACTTAACATTTCTTTACTAGTTTTGTACTTTCTGTTGTCAGTTTTTTCACATTCCACCCCATCCCTGCCTGTTGTTTTATGTGTCAAAAGGAAGATTTTTTTGGTTTTTGTCCTTTCTATTCCCTTTCTGTAGTATCTGAGCACCTGCCATGTATGAAAATAGAGAAATATTTTGTCGTTCTTGCTTCAGAGCCTGTAGAATAAATAGCATTATGAGTAGGGCCCTACCAAATTCACGGTTCATTTTGGTCAATTTTAAAAATTGTAAATTTCATTATTTCAGCTATTTAAATCTGAAATTTCACAGTATTGTCATTGTAGGGGTCCTGACCCAAAAAGGAGTTGTGTGGGGGGGTATAGCAAGGTTACTGTAGGGGAGGTTGCGGTACTGCTACGCTTAATTCTGTGCTGTTGCTGGCAGTAGCCCTGCCTTCAGAGCTGGGCAGCTGGAGAGAGCCGCCAGCAGCAGCAGCGCAGAAGTAAGGATGGCATGGTATAGTATTGCCACCCTTACTTCTACACTGCTGTCTGCATAGCTGGGCCCTCAGCCAGCAGCTGCCACTCTCCAGCAACCCAGCTCTGCAGGCAGCAGTGCAAAAGTAAGGATGGCATGGTACAGTAGTGCCACCCTTCCTTCTGTGCTGCCACTGCGGGGGCACTGCCTTCAGAGCTGGGTGCCCGGCCGACAGCTGCCACTCTCCGGACACCCAACTCTGAAGGCAGCACAGAAGTAAGGGTGGCAATACCGTGACCCTCCCTAAAATAACCTTGCAACTCCCTTTTGGGTTAGGACTCCCAATTTGAGAAATGCTGGTCTCCCCTGTAAAATCTGTATTGTATAGGGTAAAAGCACACAAGACCAGATTTAATGGTCCATAATGTGTTTTTCATGGCTGTGAATTTGGTATGGCCCGAATTATGCGTTTATAAGACCTCGTGTGTGTGTGTGTGTGTGTGTGTATTTGACTGTATGAGAAGAATTTAAGGGAGAGTTATTCTGAAGAAATGAGTTACACGTTCAGTTCTGAAAATGTTAAGGCCTGTGATCATTTCTTTTGTGGGAGTGAGTTCCACAGTTCGGGTCTGGTTTGAAGAAATTCTTTTACTTCCCTGATCATTTATCAACTGCATAAACTATCAAAATTCTTCTGGTAATAGAATTTAATTTGTACTTTCTTTGCTTTCTGAATGGCTGCCTCTGCATTAGCAGAACAAAATTTATTACAGGTTCATAAATGTGTGTAATTTCTTTTAGAGACTTCTTTGCAATAGAATGATAGTTTTAACACTACACATAGATATTTAGAATCTGGAAATCATTCCCCTTCTTGAAGGTAAGTAGTGATTTTTTGATTGACTGTCATTGTGAGCAAAGAATGTCGCTTCCTGTCCTCTCTTATCTCAAAACAAAAGCACAATGTTGAAAGTTAAAAGGATGTCCATTGTTGATCTTATTTTAAATAATTACCCAAAGTAAACTGCACATAGCTGAGAAGTGCATAACCTGTACTTTGATTTCTATGTATTTCAGCATTAGTAGTAAAGCTTGTACCGAGTAAACTATATGATTTTAATAGAAATGTAAGTTATTTAAAGGAACTTTTAAATCTTTATTTTGTAGAATCAACCTCTGAGGAGATTGGACAAAATACAAAAGTGCTCAGGAGCAGGACATATATGAATGACTACAAAAAATATACAACGTTTTCTAGTGAGACATTAAATGCCAAAACTGTTACTGGAAAAAAACCTCCATGCAGAAGTGCTACTTTGGCTGCTAATAAAAATAAGATGATGAGTGATGTAAAGGAAGAGCTCTCCAGCTCAGAAAGTGTGTGCACTGAAAAAAAGAATAGAAAACTGCCTCACCGGACGGTGTCTGCTGCATCCAAGAAAAGGCTAAGGGACAGCTCTAAGGTAGATGCCACTTTCAAGTCTGAAAGTGAAAAAGTAAAAGAGCAACATACTAACAGGAAAACACACTCTCAGCCTAATTCAGCTGCTGCTAGAAGAAAATATATTAGAGAGTCTGAAAGGGGAAAATCTGAATCTGAGAAAGAGACCAAGATGACACACAAGAACAGGCATATTAATGACCACAAGCAGCCACACAGAACTGTCCGTGCTGCATCTCTTAAAATGAAAAATTCCACAGTAGAATTTTCAGAGGAGGACTCCAAAAGCCGTAAGTCAGGGGATGGGAGCAGTAAGAAAGCTTCTGACCAGTCAACTTTTGTACGCAAACATCATGCAGTGAGCAACTCTGAGGGTGAGGCAGGTTCTGAATCAGGCAAGTGCAAAGGTAAAAAAACCAAGGTGACCAGTCAAAAGGCTGGGACGTCTTTCAGAAAAGCAAAATTCTTGAATGCCGTAAAGGACACAGAGTCTGAAACAGGAGAGCAGGAAGATGGAAGAAGTTCTTTGTGTCGGCGGACTGCTCCTTCTGAGACTGCAAAGATTGGAAAATCTGGACCTGGTGCCAGTTTAAATTGCTCTTCCAATTTAGAATCTGAAACTGATTCTAGTAACAGTAGCTATAGGAATACCACAAAAACAAAAAAGAGGAAAAGAAAAAGAAAAACTAAAGTAATTAGAAAAGGTAAAATTTCAAATTCAAATGTATCTAAGCCGTCCAGAAGGCCCCAGCGAACAAAACGTCCTAAACTTAATCAAGAAAATGACTCTGACGATGTGGACTATACCAAATATAAAAGAGCAAATCGACGTTCTAAAATAAGAACTAGAAATGGGGGTAGAAGGACTGTGAGATATGATGATGATGGTGATGATGATGATAGAGGTCTAGATTACATAGATTGTGGAACATAACCTTAAGTGGAAAAGCCAGTCTGCTTTTTTTATGGTAATAGTGCTAGGATTCATGATGAATGCTGGCTCTTCTTTGTCCTACATTTCAGGGAATATATTTATATTTTTCTATGAAAAAGTTATTAATATCAAATCATGACTCTCCTTTTCATATTTTGACTTGCACTTGCCTGCCCATGCAGCAGCATTTAGCACAGATGCCAAAATGTGCCTCATTATAGGGGCAAAATTTTGTCTTTACTGGTATTTTACTACATATAGCAAGAGTTTAAAAAAAGTTAAATACCTGGCAACAGGTTAATAGCAGTATGTTGAGTATTATTATGGGTGCTGCAATGTGCTACTACCTGGGCCTTACAATATAAGTGCATTCAAGAACAGCTGATTTAAACCCCTCTTAATGTTGTATGAAATCTCATACAACAGTAACAGACTTGCAACTATTACTGTACATTATAAAAATAGTGGTGAATGATATTACAAACATCAGAAGTAATAAATGATTTACATTAATAACTTGAATTAGTACATCCTTTAAAATGTACAGTGCTACCACTATTGAAAATACATAACCTGAAAGAACTAGTAATGGAAAAGATATATTTAACAATTTTTAAAAAATGGTATTGGGGAAAAATAGGGGTTTGCTGACAGGTGATACTGTCATTTTTAATATGCGGCTTCCATGCTGTAAATTTGAGACCACAAAATGCAGGTGAACGATTGGGCCTAAGGGTTTGTGTGTGTTATATATATGAAAAGAAACGTGCTGTGTATTTTTTAAAACTTGTGTATTTAAAACTTGTTTATCTTTTAAATGGGTGAAAAGTTTGAGGCTCGGAATATTATTTCAGATTATTTTGCTATGGTTGCCCACCTGCTCCTTCACATTTAAACTTTTTAACTTAAAAGTGCCTCATTACGTTAGATTGTTGATACGTTGATAAACCACACCAAATTCTGATTGTCATCATACAGCACCTACATGCTGATGTTTACGTTGCCATTGTTGAGAACAAAAATAATTAGAACTTATTATAACATATGAGGGAAAGGGAGTTGGACAATTGTTAATGAGATTAATGTACATTTTTCAAACTAAAATGTGTAGTTCTGCATCAGTTTCTGATGCAATTTGCAAAGTGTTCGGGGAGTGGTATTTAAATCTTTCTCACTGGCTTGATATGTGGCAGTGCAGTAAGAATCTCAGGAAGAAAGATGTTCATGAATCTGCTGATAGCATAAAGACTTTTCTTAATGACAGTTTTATTTCCAGTGGTGCCCCTTCATACCCAAAATTCGTTCAGTTAGTTCAAATCTAGATGTTTTGCTATCAACATTTAACCCTTCACTTTGTTGCCATAGATCAGTGCTGTCCAACCTTTGGGACTTAAGAATCAAAAATACTATTTCAGTAAGGTCTAGGGACTACAATCAATTTTCTACCATGTTTCTGCTCTTTGCACTGTTCTGGTGGTACAAAGGTAGTGGAAGCCATCCATAAGTCCAACTCCTGGGAATTCTGCCACTGTGGGGGTTGTCCCCCGGGGGCATATGGCACAGATGGATCCTACATCTCTCTGTGTTCTGTAACTAACCACCTGGTTTGAGGGGTGGGAAAGTGGCTGGAACATTAAGACTCCAACTATTTTAGCTGGCAGCTCATCCCTTGAGAACCACACCAGGTTGGCAAAAGTTGGAGCAGTCCCCAGACTGCTTCAGTCTGCACCATTCCTGAGGCCAGAGCTGTAACTGGTGGTTGGTTTCAACTTTTCTCCCCCTCCCCTGCCCTCCCACATTTCCTGAGCTTCCTTGGCTAGTTGTGAGGGAGAAGAGCCGTCCTTTGCTAGGTGCTCCCATAGGATCAGGAACAGGCACAGCTAGTCTGTATTAAGCCTAATAGAAATCTAGTTGATACCATTTGTGCCCTAATATTTTGTTCCTTTTCTGATTTGAATATAGCTCTTAATTCAATATATTTTTGTAGAAGTTTGTGGGTTTAAATTGTTCATCTTTCTTTGTCTCTGATTGCTTAAGCAAAGCAAAGATGCCAAAGTATGAACCAGATTGTCTATTGAGATTGTTCACTGTTTTAAGTGTTTTGTATCTAGTAGTTTAGAAATGCCCCTGTCAAAAGGGATAAATGTTTGCTTTATCTGAAAATTAATTGGCTGCATTATTCAGTGGCTGGTTGATTGGGCTGGTAATTAGTGGTTTTTGAAGTGTAATAATTTCGAGTACTGGAGTAAACACTTGAGGATATAAGGGAGCCTCAGAATTCTTGTCATCTAATTGAAGTATAAATTAAGTAGGGCTGTCAGGATTTTTATCTTCAACCTTGGTGTAAGTTCAAATATAGTGCTTTCAAAGGAAGTATACAAATATAGGTTCATAAAACAAGCTAAATGGTTGGGGACAAACTCTGCCCATTGATGCATTCAAAGGGCTCTCATTCTGTGCATGAGAGGGAAAAATTGGCTTGTCTAAAGTACAGTCTTTCATAAGTCAACTTGCATTGTCGATGCTACACACTTACAATATTTGACAATCATTCTCTTATACACACCCTAATCACTGAGAGAAAACAATATTTTATTCTATGTTATCATATGCTCCTGGGCGCTATTTCAGTTTTCTGTGTATAGGCAGGTAGAGGAGGGTTCTGGTTACAACAGGAAGATCAACATTTAAAAGGTAAATGGAATTATTTCTACTGATTCTTATTTAGCAATCTTCTATCCCTTTCTCCCAAAGGCAAATAATTATTCTTTCACAAACATCGCTTGTAGGTGAACTACCAGGCTATTTTTAACTATTTTAAGTCATAACTCCATTCTCAGAAAGCAACTTCCTGCACTGTTGAAGGCTTTATTGATGTAACTCAGCAATTGCAAGAGAGTTGCACAATACACAACTCTGGGCTTGGAAAGAGTGGAGGGGGAGGGAGGAACAGCAGTCCATCCTGTTCTGTGTCAAGTTGTGGGCAGAAGAAAATGTTGGAAATGCTGCTTGGGCAAGTAACAGAACTTGTCCACAGTGTGTAGGAATGTGCTTGGAGGTGGACCCAGTTAATACCAGCCCATGTGCTACACCCCCCTTTGGGCCATAGTGTGTGTTATAGGGGAAGTGCTCAGCTTCCACCCCACCTCTGCCTCCAAATCTAATTAGAGCATACCCTGTTGTCAGTAGCAAGCATTAACTGATACATTTGTGGATTTGATGTTCCCCCTGTCCAGAGCAGCAACATGCTGTACTCCACAATAGGCTATTTCCGCCCACCCTGTGGAATATTTCTCTGGCTGGCAGGTTCCTTGTGAAAGAAGAGGCACTAGGCTGCATTTCTGTTCTGCATTATTCATTGGATAAAACAAGATTGACTGTAAGATTGAACATCTATTATGAATCCAGACATTGAGGGGGGAACGTCAATCTAGTTATTCTGTTGCTACTTGTATACTTTAATATTAAAATAGTGATGAAAGAAGCATGTATATCAACAGAGAAAATAAATACTGCTTTTTCTGGATCCCCAATCTGAGACATTGGGGTGGTGCCTCTTTCTTCAAGCACAGGAGACAGTTAAGACTTGTCCACAGGGCTCGGCCCTGCCTCTGGAGACCAAGTGGCTATTCAACAATCCTATTTTATTTTTTAAAATACTAGTTTCTAAAGCTTATTTTGGGGCAGCAGTAAGCAAAATATTGTCCATCCCCTTTCCTATCCCTTAGGGAAACAAAATTTGTCAGGGTTGTGTTCCCCCAAAGGGAACAGCCTCCCAATTCTTCCTGTTTGGTCCCTCCTCTCATTATGGAAGAGCAGGCCAAAAACCCAAGAAGTGCTAAGAGGAGAAGCAGCAGAAGAGGAGTTCTGACAGCTGCTCACTACTACGGATCTTAAATTTGTCAGTCTGGAGGGCAAGCTAGGACGACATCTCACCTGCTGAGACTTCTTCAGTAACGTCTCTGAAAAGACACGAGGCTCAACAAGTTGGCCGGCCTCAATAGGGTTTGGGGGTTTTTAGATGTAAATCCCCACATTTTCTCCTCCTCCTGGTTTTAATCCATTTCAGAATGGAAAAGCTGTAGGTTTAGGTGAATAATTGTCAGATGGCAAGAATTCTGGCCTGCTGTCTGACTCCTTTAAAAAAAAAAATGCATCTGAGCTTTTACAAGGCTCCACCCCTGCATTTGTTACTAGGGGGGATGTTAAACAGCATCTTTGAGGGATAAACATTTCAAAATCAGCATGCCCAAATAACTTGCATCCAAAAGTGCTAAAAGAGTTGACTGAGGAGATCTCTTGCTTAAGGATGTTAATTCTTATTAAAACCTGGAATATTGGGCAAACTCCAGAAGACTAGCAGAGTGCTAATGTGCCAATATTTAAAAAAGGGCAAGCAGGATGGCCCAAGTAATTACAGGCAGGTGCTTCTGACATCAATCCCAGCCAAAATAGAAAAGCTGACAGGGATTCAATAAATAATGAAGGGATAAGAATACAATTAATGTCGATCAACACCGTTTTATGTATGTTGGTATTATAAGAAATTTCATTTTTTTTATGCGATTACAAATTTGGTTGGTAAAGATAAATGCACGGAAGTAAAATACTTTGTTTTCTAAGGCTTTTCATATAGTACACAACATTCTGATTACAGATAGCACTGTACAATATAAATAATGCACACGTTAAATGGATTGAAAACTCTCTAATTGACAGACCTTAAAAAGTAATTATTGAATGCGTGTGTTACTAGGGTGGTTCTTCAGGGATCTGTTCAATATTTTGATTAGTGATCAAGAAGTAAATATAAAATCATCGCTGATTAAAACCTGTGGATGACACAGATTAGAGTTGTAAATGATTATGATGGAGCAGTCATAAAGTGATCTGGATTGCTTGGTAAGCTGGGCCCATTAAAACAAAATATTTTAATACAATCAAATGCAAGGGTCATATAGCTAGGAATAAAAATACAGGTCATACTTACAGAAACAGGG